TTTTTACTGCTCTGTCATCAGCGAGCGGCTAATTGACCAATATATTCAATATATTACCAGATTATTATTTCCAAACTATCGTCAGCAATCAAGCAGCAAGAAAAATAACGTAGAACGCTATTTCAGATAGGGTTACGTTAAATATGCGCATGCGCACTTCAATCAATTTAGCATTACCGTTCATGTTGACGTTGTAAAATCTGCCTTTTGTTTATAATGCAATGAATTTGTAGCATTTGATTATTTTTAATTTCACAAAGGTGGACTTGTAACGATCGATAGGTAAAGTGAGGTGTTTAGTATGTTGTATTGTATCTATGCTTGTATGTAATATTATTTAAATTGAACAATATTTCCAACAAAAAACTATTTTGTTGATTTTGCCGTCACCCGTTAACAAGCACGCTATTCTAAGAAAAATAACGTGGTACGCTATTTCAGATAGGGTTCCGTTAACTATGCTCATGCGCCCTTCAATCAGTTTAGCGTTACCGTTTATGTTGACGTTGTCAAAAATGTGCCTTTTGATTATAATGCTTAACCTGATGAACTTGTAGTATTTGATTATTTTTAATTTCAAAAAGACTGATAACGATCGATAGATAAGGTATGTTATATTTTTACTGCTCTGTCATCAGCGAGCGGCTAATTGACCAATATATTCAATATATTACCAGATTATTGTTTCCAAACTATCGTCAACAATCAAGTGAAAATCCACAAAATCCGTCAACAGTGCCTTTGTTTAAAAGCTGGCAGATACGACTGTAACCTGAACTACTACAAATACCTTAGAAACAGCGTTAGCGGATAAATCCGTTGTGCAAAACGTCTTCAAATATCGTCAACGTTATTTGAAAGAAGAAATGTAACGGCGACGTTAAAATAGCCGAAACGTTATGCAAAATCTTTCTAATATTGCGATTCAGAACGATTCAACAATGGCTATCAACTTATAAGGCTGGAAGAATTGGAGAAAAAGCTGCAAAGTGCGTAATGGTTGTCCTTAATGCGAAGACTCCAATTGGAATGAGATAGTGTGTAGAATTATTTGCATCTAAGTCATGCAAAATCTCCCTGTTATTGTGTGTGATTGTTAATAATAATAACAGAAATGTAGATTTGTATAAATATCTTTACAGAAGACGTAATATTTGTTGAGGTCGAGGTTGTTAAATGTGCGGGGGTGGAATAGAAGTTGTGACAGATAGCCGCCCAACCGGCTCGGCCTATATAATTAAAAACACATTTCAGCCCCAGGTAATGTCCGCTCTACGTGTCCCTCCCGTCATGATAAATATATTGATTAAAAGTGGCAAGCGCCGTGCTGCCAGCTCATACTAATAGCCGCTAACGATCCCGATTTATTACCCCTCCTTATATTGATGCCGCTCTCGTAACCGCCATTAGCGGAGATGTTAATAAACATTTGTTCCGTCATTAATTAAGTCGGGGAGGGGGAAGGTCCGTTATTTACAGCGTGGATTGCCAGCATAAATCATAATTTAATAAACTGATTTCGCCGGTGGGTCAGCGGCGTGGGGTGGTACTGTCGTAAGAACCGGACATTAGCCCAGTTCCCTCACGGTGGCTTCGTTACTTTAATGCCCGGACCAATTATCGTTTTGACGGTTGAACTTTCGACCGGAGCCCGACGGGGGTTAAATTGTTTCGACATCGGCTTTAAATTTTATCCCCCGCGATTATCCCATAATCTCCGATTCGTTTTACGGTAACTGCCGGCCGGGGCGGGAAGGCAATTGGCGGAATGTTAATCCTTAATGCGCCTTTTTGACACCGTGTATAATAGGGCTTAATAGCCGTAAGAGGTTTCGGTTTTCACTAGGCTTACACCATAATGAAAATGTCAAAGAATATCATTTTGAAAACCTGCACCGTCAAACTGATTGTGACTCCGTACGGTACATAAACGGTAAATCGAAATGGTACACAACTACAACATTACTTTAGATTTTCGAAATTGCAAATCATTGTAAAATTGTAACACCATGTTTAAAGAGAAATTCTTAAGTGTCTAACAATGTTCACGATCTTTGGTTAACCGTCTTAACTCTGTTAAGTCTTGTTAGATCGAAAAAAATGGTGACGTAGACTTGTAAGAATCGGCTAGTTAACATTGCTTGATCTAACAGGCCACGGCCAATGTTAGATGTTATTTCGAAGATGTAGTCACATTGCTATCCGTTAAGGAGTAGGTAACCAACATGGCAGCCATGAATTTAACAGCAGTTTTTTTACACGTACTTTTATTCTTAAATACGCATTAATTAAATCAGACCAATACAATTCTTTTGTTGATTTCTGACCTGCCCTTATACTCTCATTCATAAAAGGTATATCCCCTATCTTATAAAGTTGTAGGCTGTTAGAAGTCAGGAATGTCGGCACAAACTTAAGCGTTTATTTGTTAGTACTTTTCGAGTGCATAGATAGCATTTGGAATGAAAGAATTGATTAATTTTTTTTTACTAACTTTTGGCATCTTACAATTTAACACAAACCAAAACCATAACAAACAACAACAGGCCTGCAAGGATTGTTAAAGCTTTATTTATGGTTCTACCAATCGCCACGCGCAGCATTGCGGAAAAATTAACGTTTAACATGCTAAGAAAAGAAGGGGGCGTTTACGATCTTACTGGACATTTCTCTATTCGAGTTAACATCTTACAAATATCGTGAATACCCCTAAAATCTTAAGTGCCTAACAAAAATTTAATAGGGGCATTAACGATCTTTTTATTAACCCTGTTAAGTCTGTTAGGTCGTGTTAGATCGAGAAAAATGATAACGTAGACTTGTAAGAATCGGCTAGTTAACATTGCTCGATCTAACAGGCCACGGCCAATGTTAGATGTTATGTCGAAGACGTAGTCACATTGCTATCCCTCAGGGCGTAGGTAACCAACATGGCAGCCATGAATTTAACAGCTGTTTTTTGTTTTCACGTATTTTTATGCTTAAATGCGCATTAATTAAATCAGACCAATAGTTAGTACTTTTCGAGTGCATAGATAGCATTTTGCATGAAAGAGTTGATTAATTTTGGTTTTTTTACTAACTTTTGGCATCTTACAATTTAACACAAACCAAAACCATAACAAACAACAATAGGCCTGCAAGGATTGTTATAGCTTTATTTATGGTTCTACCAATCGCCACGCGCAGCATTGCGAAAAATGAACGTTTAACATGCTAAGAAAAGAATGGGGCGTTCACGATTTTACTGGACATTTCTCTATTCGAGTTAACATCTTACAAACATCGTGAATACCCCTAAATTCTTAAGTGCCTAACAAAAATTTAATAGGGGTATTAACAATCTTTGTGCTAACCCTGTTAACTCTGTTAGATCGGGAAAAATGATGTGGTACTTGTAAGAATCGGCTAGTTAACATTGCTCGATCTAACAGATCAGAGCCAATGTTAGGTGTTAGGTCGAAAATGTAGTCTCTTTGCTATCTGTTAGGGCGTAGGTAACCAACATGGCAGCCATGAATTTAACAGCTGTTTTTTGTTTACTCGTATTTTTATTCTTAAATACGCATTAAATACGCAAGTTAAACATTGGCAATCTTCAATTCGAGCCACTAGGAAACAACAAACAGTCCTAACCAGCCTAAGGATCGGACACACCCGCCTTACCCATGGCTACCTACTCGACCATAAAAATACACCAAAATGCTCCACCTGTCTCATACACCGGTCACAATTAAGCATATCCTGCGAAACTGGCTACCTTATGCTCCTCTCCCAACATCACATCACACCACTTCCCAAACAACATTTTGGCGAAATTTAAATTGTTCGTCTTGTACATGTGACCCCATCCTTGAAAGACTCAAGGCAAAAATGACCCAAAGGCCTTTAAAAAAATAATTATTAGTTAAATCAGACCAATACATTTCTTTTGTTAATTTCAGACATGTTCTTATACTCTCATTCATAATAGGACCTAGCTACTATCCTATAAATTTGTAGGCTGTTAGAGGTTAGGATGCAAGTTATGTCGGCACGAATTGAAGCGTGTCATTTGTTAATACTTTTCGAGTGCATAGATAGCATTTTGAATGAAAGAATTGATTAATTTTCCTTTTTTTATTAACGTTTGGTATTTTACAATTTAATACAAGAGAAAACCAACACAAACAACAACAAGCCTTCAAGGGTTGTTATAGCTTTATTTTTGGTTCTACCAGTCGACACGAGCAGCATTGCGAAAAATTAACGTTGATTGAAAAAGGCCCTGGGCCCCGATCCTTTTTCAATCAACGTAGAATTTGAGAAGGCTGTTCACAAAATAAGGAAAAATTACTCCTAACATAGGAAACGAGAATTTTTTGAAAACACTGGAGCCATGTCTAGTGATTTTTTCAATGAAGTATGAAACTGATAACATATGGAAAGGATAAATTCAGGCTGCAGTACTCACTACTCAAATTGCAATTTCATGCAATCCTCAATTATATGTAAATTTTTGACAGTAAAGTATAATAAACTACAAATAAATATCAATGTATTCTAAACTTAGCCTGTCTATGCAAGGAGAATTATTAAAACAGTACAACTGTAACAGGAACGCATTAATAGTGAAACAGTTTTGAAAAATAATCCAGGGGTTTATGTTGTGAGAATCAATCGGGGGTCGTGAGAAAGCATTGGATTAATAGGCGGTCGGCTCAAGGGCGGTCGCGGATGGGAGTGCATTCTTCTGAAAAGGTTGTGCGATTTTTTTAACCTTGGTTTATGCAGTCATCCATCTTCCATCATTTTATAGATAGTGTGTGTGTGTTTTTAAAATTACAATTTCAACTGATTGTGGGGAGGGGTATTTTCGTTAGGAATTACGAGCTAAGGAAAGGATGGAAGGGTGTATTTAATAAGAAGTGTTGTAATCATGCATGTCCATGCTACTTGTTGGACAATTCAACGGAGCCCTCGTTAAATTTTAATTCCAAGAGTCAATTATAACAACTTACTCAGCCTGTGCTTGCTCTGCGCTTCCCTCATGGACTCCCAGTGCAACAGTTGATACCAAGAAGCCCCCTGCAGCTCTGACCGAGGAAACCCCAGGTGCCACTCACCACTGTAAAAGAAACGCATGTAACAAACATAATTGTATTTATTAGAACACATTGTTTTGTTTAATGTTGATATATTAGCAAATGTTAATTTATCAGATTACAGGAAAGATGAAGATAAATTTCATAATATTTCTGCTATATATACTATTATTTATTCATCCTTATTATCACTATTACATTGTATAATGTACAAAAATGCTTATTACTATACGAAGATAAGCAATCATTTCAAGACCAGAAGACAATCATGTTTTCAAAGGAAATTATTATTGAAATAAGTAGTAGTAAAAGCATATTTACATGCTTTTATGCTCTCGGAAAATTTGGATAATCTAATAATAATAAATTGTATAATAATAAATAATAAATTATAAAAGTATGTTAAACATTAAACTGTGATTTACTTTAATAGAAAAATAGATGAAACACCCACAAGTGTAAAAGAATTAATTATTGAAGTCCCATCATGTTAATAATAATAATTTTATTTGCAAAAAGTAAGGTAATGCAGTAAGATAAAACATAAAAAAAGAGAAAAAATTTAAGGATAAAATAGATAATAAAACTATAACTAAAAATTAAGTCATTTAACCACTCTGCACTTTTCCCCTGTATCCTGAAAGCAGTGGTCGTAACAGTTGGCCGAAGTGAGCTTAGAAGGTGTATAAGACAAAATAAATGAAAGAAAAAATAAAAATAAAGAAGAGAGAAAAACAAAAATACTATAAAATGCAGTAAATTCAAATAAAAATTAAAGAATACAATAATTGTCATATGATGCCACTTAAACCACGAAGACAGTTCAAATTAGAAATTTAAAATTTTTACAATAATACATTTTTTGAAATCATAATGAGAATTAAATTTGTTAAAATTAATTTTATGTTCATTAGTTTTTGTGGTCCGCTTGGCCAATTAATATCTTTCAATTAATTAAGGTTTCTAGTTGAGATAAAAAAAGTCAATGTCACGAGCGGGATTCGAACCCACGACCTTCGGCTAGATACGCCGCTGCTCTACCACTTGAGCTATCGTGACTTCGATCCACTCGGGCACCAACCTCCCATCTCCACCCCACCTTTTTTGAATTTTCTCGCCTTTTTGCCATTTCTCAAATGTCGTGTATTTGATTCTCGGCGAAAATGAAATGGCCACGGAGAGCTTTAGTGAAGTATACTTCATTTTAACTTATTAATTCACTAGTTTTCGTGGTCCGCTTGACCAATTAATATCTTTCAATTAATTAAGGTTTTTAGTTGAGATAAAAAAGTCAGTGTCACGAGTTGTAGAGTGCTAGCCGAAGGTCGTGGGTTCGAATCCCGCTCGTGACATTGACTTTTTAGTTGAGATAAAATGGCAAAAAGGAGGGAAAATTCAAAGGTGTGGTTGAGATGGGAAGTTAGTGTCCGAGCGGATCGAAGTCACGATTGCTCAAGTGGTAGAGTAGCGGCGATTATAGCCGAAGGTCGTAAAACCTTAATTAATTGAAAGATATTAATTTTTTGATTGTAAAGAAACCTAAAAAACATCAAAAATTAGAGCAAAAATTAGTGTTTATTTTTATATCAAAATGTTAGTGATTACTTTTTGTCTTATTTGGTTCGCATTATACGCATATTGCCATATGATAGTTATATAATTGGTGATTGTTTTGTTGTATATAGTAATGACAGTTTAGGGGCCAATAGCGGAATATTGAGTACCCCATCGACCACAATTAGGTTCGGTACGAACTCATTCGTTTCCACAGGAAGTCAAAAAAGTACCTCTTAATTGTCCTCGCGTTTTGATCTAGCGTCTGGTTGGGTATCTTATCATCTCATTCAAAATTATAAAGGGGTCAAAAAAAAAAAAAAAATTAAATAAATGCTCATATAACACAATAAAAACCGTGCATTCTACATTCGATTAAAAGTCTCGATGTCCCACCTAATTAAAAGGTACAATAAGCTCCATGTAGTGAATGCGTAGGAATGCCATCCGGTTTGAGAACTGTGCTTGAGCCCTGTAGTTTGCATTGACGTACCCTGTAACGATTCTTGGAGGAAACAGAGCTGTTTTATTGTATATAGTACTAATAGGTTTTTGTGTTCCTAGCATGTGTTAAGAATGAATGTATTTATTAGCGTGAATCTGGAATGTGAAAGAGCCGATGGCCCCATCGAACCTCAATTAGGTTAGTTATGTAATCATCCACAGATTAGGGTATATGTCACGTATCTGGAGTCCAGAGACTGCAGCCCAACAAGTCGTTTTTCAGGGAGGTCTGTACCACCAAACATTACAGGCACCAGACTTTATGTACAAAAGGTGACAGCCAGTTTCTGTACCGATTCTGATCACCAAGCTTCCAGCCCGCCATTCGTGATTCCATTCCAATGAAGCATAATCCAGGTGTCACTTTACAAGAGATTGGTACAAAATTCTTATTCATGTTGAACCGGCACACGGGCACTACTGGGTCTGTCTTCACTCGCGGGTTGTTTTGTGTACACACCTTTTAAGTAACGTAGCCTGACTGGCTGTGTTATAGTAGATGATGGGGTTTGGTCTGCGAGTTGGCGAACTCATGTTGAACCGGCACACGGGCACTACTGGGTCTGTAACCCGCGAGTGAAGACAGACCCAGTAGTGCCCGTGTGCCGGTTCAACATGAGTTCGCCAACTCGCAGACCAAACCCCATCATCTACTAAAATTCTTATTATCTTCAGTCAACTGTCAACTGCCTGATATACTCGAGATTTTTTAAAGCTTTCGAGCTTGTTTGATTAATATGTTCATGGAATCGCATTTTGATACTACCTAGTTACTACCGCATTTTGATTTAAACATTGAATGATTTGCAATTTACAAGCATCTCAACTTAACTTTCACGTCCTCTTCTTTGAACGCAACGCAATACAATACATATGTAACTATAGGATAAAAAATCAGGTGAAAGGGGAGTTTCATTCAAGTTGTGGTATAACATTATGACAAAGATTTTTTGTTAAAAGAGCAAGAAAAGAGTTGAACTGATAGCTTTTGATTTTGGTTTGTTTTGCCAGAGTTCTTTTAAACTTTGTGATAAAGTAAATCCACTTTAAATGGCCGTATTTATTTTATATCGGTGAGCTTTCATCAATCCGATTAAACGTTATTATAAGAATGGTTCGTTTTCGATTTGATGAAAATTTGCGACTGATTCAAACTAAGGATATTTTCTCCGGTAATGTATTGAAAAACAAATAACTAGTTATGCGCGAGAAGCCTGATAGCATAAAGTTCCTCGGAACCCTAATATATAATTAACCTGCAACATATCAGTCAGCTATGTGGCCAGACCGGCATCCCGCTCCTTTTTCCCCCCAAGCCCAATTTCAACTTTTATTTTATTTTTCAAGCTACATTTATCTAAACGGACCGGGGGGGATGTAAAAATGTTTCCTTTTTAACTAATTACGTGTTCTATTGGTTTTCTTGTTTGTTGTCCACTGATGATTCCTCTCATTATCAAAAAATGAGAAATAAAAAGTAGTTAAAAAAGATAATTCCAAATAATCGATGTACACGACATTTCATACAAGGATGTGAGGCCTGTGAGTTGTTTCTTCCCGTAAGCTCTGAGATAAAATGCAATTGTCACACCATTCCGTCGTCCAGTTAGGGGAGGGTGAATGACAGTTGTAAATAATTCGGATTATCGGTTAAAGAATAAAATTGACGACGTTCCATACCATTAAGGTATGATTTATTGACAATAACCTTTATCAGGATGCAATCTCTGTTTTCGTCGTAAAAATGGCTCACCGGGGGGGTTATCGTTTTATGCGCCATCGCATATCATAGTCGTCCATGCTAATTCCGTCATCTTTATGAAAAAGCCACGTCCCTTTATTTCAACGACCAAGGTTTACGTGCGTTATTCCCGTTCTTAAATGCATTCCCAATCCTTTAATTATTCCGTTAGAATTTTACATAAATTTGTATATGTTTGTGTTAACATAACCATTAATGTGTTAATGGCACAATAATTAACTTTCTTCAAAAATTTCATAGTTCTCAACAAGGAAAATATATAATATAAAAGGAAGTTTGATGAATCATAAAATCGTGATTCGTCGACGAAACGGAGTTTCAACGCATCACCCGACGGCGTTGAAAAATCTGATAACAGTTCAGTTACAAATATTATTCCCGACCTCCGCCTTTTGCCCTCTGCCAGGTGGGGGGTTCCTTTATGTAAGCGATGGTTATGTGCTTTTGACAAAGGGCCGCTTTCTCGTCGGCCGGTGCTCGGGAATCTCGATCTCCATTGGCTGAATTTATTTTGGCCTTTCTACGACTCACACGGCCATGCGGGGAGAAAGGTACCGTTGCGACACCCCCGGCGAACTTTATGTTCTCTTTTTTAACGAGGGTATTCCAACTACGGGGGTTATATGAACCCTCGGGTGCCGGTTTTTTATGAAAAACAAAAAGACCATTTGTGAGTATTATTCAGAAATCGTGAGATGCGTGATATGTGTGATATGTAAAAAAAAAAACATTTTCTTTATCGTGCCAACGTTTCGATCTTTATTGAGATCATCTTCAGGGCTCAAAGTGTTTGTCTTCTGTGTAATTGTGCCATTCTTGCGTGTCGTGTTGTAATTGTTCTTGACTCTCAACACGACACGCAAGAATGGCACAATTACACAGAAGGCAAACACTTTGAGCCCTGAAGATGATCTCAATAAAGATCGAAACGTTGGCATGATAAAGAAAATGTTTTTCTGAAACCTACATCTCACCAGACCGCATCTCACGATTTCTGAATAATTATCGATTAACGGTCACTAATCACACCACATTTGTCAGTATGTTACGTTATATTGTATCAATTGATGATTGTGATCAAGTGTGTGGCCCAAAATGAACCAGTCGTACTTTTTTTTTTGCCAAGCTTTCGACTTTTTATTAAGCCTTCCTTTCCAATGGAAACTTAGTGACAAATTGGTACTAGAAACCAACAAGTACGGA